TAGAACTACGTTTCAGCTTATTGCATAACGTCACAAGTTTTCTTACGAACCAATTATTAAAGACAATAAGAGAAACACATGAATTTATTATATGAATGTGCAGACATATTTGTAATCTTTAACAACATTGTTACTAATAATAAAGTTATTATTCATCCTTAAAGGAAGATTAATTAATAACGCGAAAAAGATTTGAATACAAGTTCTTTTTTAAAGGATGAAAATGTGTACGAGGATGACTCGATAATTTTGTTACCGCAAAATTATTGCATGCAAGTACTCGTATATTACACCTTTTTTGTGTGTTGATGGTTAATAAATAATAGAAACACATCATGTGAAAGGAAACGCGTTATTTTGAATCAATTATTTGCACAAATTAGATTTTAACTAGGGGTCTGAAATTAAAAATTATCTGATAACAAATATTTATCTTCTGGAAAACACATTCGGAAATGTAGAAGTATAAAAATGTAATTTCTATTAAAATATATGAAGTTAAATTGGAAAATTGGTAAGAATATCTAATTTTGATGTTAATAGATATGCGTCTCGTGAAATTTTAATTCAAACTATCATTGTATTTTGAACAATGACACGTGCTTTTAATAGGTCTACCTTGAATTAAACGGAAAAGAAGTAAAAGAAAAAAATGTATAATAAATCTATGGAAACGTCCCTGTCCATGAATGGATTCCCACGATATTTATAAAAATAATAACAAATTTACCTACATAGGTATAAATTAAAAATTGTATGAATTTATTATCTATAATTCTTATTTTTCTTTTTACCACAATGCACCCACTTATTGGATTTAATTTATAATGTATAAGAGTATAATCTAAAATTATCGGGGATAGAATGATTTCGTTTGTAGGGGACTAGTATTATTACAATAAAAAAGCTGAACCCTTTAGCATACTTTAATTTCCACAGGAACTTACTAAAAATATCCGATTATCTATTAAAAGTAGCTGAACAATAAGTAGTTCAATCATTGAGTATTCCAGTTTTGCATGTATGATTAAAAATAACGTTTAAAAACACCCCAGTAGAGAAATCCTATTTTTGTCTAATTCAATTTGCTCGATAGTTCGTTTGTTGCTAACGAATTTCTTCGTTTTTACGATGGTATTTGAATTATTTCCAAATGTGCACACCACATGAACATACAATGCTATAATATAATCACTATTTTTAGATTTTACAATACTTTCGATAAGTTTGCAGAAGCCAACTTAGTGAATACCAAGCAGCTGTATCCGATAAATTTTTTTCTTTAAAATTTTCTGCTCAAAACGCGAAAAACCCAATTTATTCAAGTTGCCAACGTCGATCGTGCTCCTCTGAAAGAGTGGGAATATATGTAGAATTTCGAATAATATCGTTTGTGTCAAATTTAAATTACGAAGTAACGCAAAAATAGCGTTTCGATATATTCATGTATGTACTTCGGATAGAATTTTGATATATCAGCTAATTCTCAAACTCAAAAATTGACAATATTGACATTAAATGATCGTCAAATAACATTTTTTATGTCCGCCTCTCACTAATTACAAGATCTCATAAGACTTATCTATATGGTTTCGATATTTGATTTAATCTCGCAAGAACACATTAGAACTTTAATAACTTGTTTATAATGACATTTATAGAGGATGTCACGGTTTATAAAATCGATTAGAGAATATTCCTAATTTTCTTTAGCATATTTTTTAATTACAAGCTTAAAACCCGTCAAATCGCGTTAAAATTACGTAATGTCATTTCTTCCATTTGATATTTTTATGTTACATATGCGAATAAGATTTTCTCATACATTGCTAATTTTTTTTCGACCGTTTCCGCTATTTTTTATAAATTATGTAATTCTTATGAATCAAGGATAAACAAACAAATTCTACCAGAGTGTGATCAAAATATTCGCGTTAAATTAATTACACACATTATATTCCAATTAACGAATATGTACCGTGAAGTATAATAATAAGAATCTATTGGCATAAGAAATTATATATTTACGAGGCGCAGTAAATATAGAATTGACGAATTAAAAGAAAATGACATCAAAAATCAAGAGTTTGTAAACTTGCCAAAGAATTACGTATATAGGTACACCTATTGCATTGCGGCTTGTCCTGACAACAAACCATTAAAAAGACATTTTGACGATGCTACTCAAATTGCAACAACTAATGAAATGGCTAAATTTTTCAAATGTCAACAATAGGGAAAAATCGAATACAAATAGTATTTTGGTACGTCACTTATAGCTGATTCAATACACCCTGTCAAGTTTTGAATAAAGATTGTTCCTAAAATAAAGGTTGAAAAATCTTTCGATCAATTTCACTCAATCAAACAAATATTTTTCTAATAGAAATTAGAAATAGGCGCACACGTTGGCTCGTGGGAATGCGAATTCGTTATTACGGGACCATGCACGGGCGCGTCCTTCGTCGTGCATTTTTCCTAGACTCGTGAAGTTGATGTTCGCGTTTTCCAAACAGAAGCTATGCGACGCCGAAAAACCTCCGACCGTACCAAGGTGAACCTATTTTCCAAATAAACTCATTCTTGACCAGAAATATCTTGAGTGTCCGCCCACGGGGTGACGAAAGCGCAAGAAATTCGCGAAGCGGACAGGACAGAGAATAGCGAACACAGAGAAGCGACAGCTTGGGTTTTTCGGTGGTATGGTTTTGGAGGACGCATGTGCGAATTAAGTTGTTTTTAACTCAAAACCACGCGGTCAGTCTCAGCTGTGTTTAGTCCGTGAGCTTAACGTTTAATGTTACGCGTTAAGAGATATTTTCGAATGTTTTATTTAAGAAAACAGATAGTATTTCTTTTGAGCATCCTTGCAAAAACTTTCCAACTGTAGATATAAAAAAACTGTTTATACGAATGAAGATTTTTTATACACTTAAGTATTCCAATAGAGATACAAAATGTGACAAAAAAATTGTTAGGAAACTACAAATTTTGTCACATATATAAGTATTATTTAGATTTAGAGATATAAGATTATTTATTTTTGATATATTATTTTGTGAATTTGTGAAAAATATGTTTCTTTTGATTTAAATAAATTTAATAAGCAATGAACTGCAGATTTTGTTTACTTTATTTTGACATAATAAATAAAAAAATGTAATTAATTCTCGACTTTCCATTAGAAAGGAGAAAGAACCTTTAAGGTTGATCAAAATGATAAAAATGTTGCCTATTCATATTTACAGTTAATGAATAAATCATACGGGATTTGGAAAGATTTTGAAAATTTTTGTAAATCTTATAAATAAATAAATTATAAAATAATAAACAAATCTTTTACTTTTATACTTATATTTGTATAAACATAACTAATTATAAGGAATTATATTTTAGTTCCGCAATCTCGTCATTACTATTTACCCGAACTATCCCAATATAAATAAATCACATTGTAACATTTGCACGTGGACTATAACATATATTTCGAAATTCTAGTTCGCTCAGTGTAGAAAACGCATGTTTTCTCAGTGTATTAAGTTGTCTGAAAAGTGGTCGTACGATATCAAAGGGACCGACAGCTAGTGTCGCTTCTCTGTGTTCGCTATTCTCTGGACAGGACGCCCGGCTCAATTTTTCGACAGCGAGAGTATAAATAAATACACCTCTTGGATAACTTCGCGTAACTATTGGGAAATTATTTCTATTTCGCGCTGGCACTGCAGGAGCCCGAAAAAAAGCCTGTGAACCGGGGCTTTTGTGTACGGCATGTCCTTTGGCTTTGATTCTATGATTTATGTCGCAAGGCGCAAGAAATCGTTTAACCCGTCACCCGTGATTTATGTATTATATTTATGACTATTTAAAAATTGTACCTGCACAAATGGATTAATTTATTACGTTTATAAACGTACTTGCTTTTAATTTGAAGCAACAGGTGAGGTAATTTATTTAGACAAATAGAAGGAATTATTCCTAAAGTCAAAAACTTTGAATTGACATCAATAACTTTAAAATTCTATGACTATACTTATTTCTTTAATGCAATAATTATACATATTGCTTCTTGAATTCTTTTGAATGCATTTGTTTTGAATAGACGAGAATCATCCAGTAGATACACAAATTTTGTAACCAATTAGTCAACGTAAACATCAAACTTCTGGGAAACTGTCGTTTTAATAGGCAAATTAATTGACGTTTAACATTTAATGGTTTTCCAATTAACAATCTTCATAATACTTGCTATCAATCGATGTATAAAATGCCTCAGTAAAATTAAGTAAATATACGGTCAAACCTTGAACTAATTTTTTATTGCCCATTCGGAGATGTTCCCAATATTTCAACTATTTTCTAAAAATGTTGATGTTGGAGAAAAATTGAAAGACTTTAAATTTTTGTAACATTCAGACTACTTATTTTTACTGTCGAATAGATTCTTAATTGGGTTTGGCTCTTTTTTTAGTATAATTTTATGGTAATTATGTCGTATTTTTTACGTACATTTAAAATTTTTGATTAGAATAATTTCTTTTTTTCAATAGTATTCTATATTTTTTTAGGTTGGTGTAATTCTGTGACAATTTATATTCGAATTGTTACGAAGAATATTTCTTCCTAAATTTGGAGCAAACTATTCTAAATTATTCAAGTATAGTATGATAGGCACGATAAAATAACAGCCGATGATTATAAAAGGTTGATTTATTAATCACTTGAAAATAGCAGTAAAAGAAAATTTACACCCTTATTTTTCAAGTAAGGTTCAAATCTTATTTTAGATATTTTAGATCCGGCAAAGCATAACTTATAAAGTGGAAACGGTTTATTTATTGTATAAATTAAAATATTTTCACGAAACGCTATAGCGAAAATTACAACGCAAATTATGCACAATGTCAACTCTAATGTTTGGAAAGAAATAATAAAAACAGAACCGAAGGAATGTAGTAAGTACATATGTACGAGTTTAAAAAAAATAACAAAAAAAAACTCACCTGAGCTTGCGCGTGACCGCCGATCTCTTCGGCGAGGGTGGTGTCACTGGCGCCGACTTTATTGCGCCGTCTCCCGACTCCCAATCCCGCCGCCTGTCCCACCGGCGGCACGTGGTGGTTCATCTCGTGCACCGTCAAACTCTGCTTGATATCGGCCGTGAAATTGCAGGCCGAACATTTGAAAGCGCCGTGCCCGTTGTGGTTCTTGCAATGCCTGTCCAGGTTCCATTTGTAGGGCGTTCGAAAATCGCACATTTCGCACTTGATCATCGGCATCGAATGGTACTTAACGTGTTTGGTGTAACGCGCCTTGATGTGCGTTACGTAAGTGCACTTGGAACATCGAAAGAACTTGGTTTTGATGTGCTCTTCGCGTTCGTGCTTAGCGAGCGCGCCTGAAGCCTTCCCCGTGAACGGACACACCGAGCATTTGAACACCGACTGTTGCTGCTGCTGCTGCTGTTGTTGCAGTTGCGACGACGGCGCCGCCGCCGCCGCCGAATCGTCGTCGACCGCCTCCTCGTCGGCCGCCTTCTTCGCGACGGTGGCGTCGTCGTGCACCATCTTCGTGTGGCGCAGCAGCTTCTGAAAGTGCTTGGAGGCGTAGAGGCAGTTCGGGCACTCGTAGATTTTCACTTTCTCGTGATGTACATCGCGCAAGTGATACAGATAGACGCGAGGGTTCTGCGTGAAAAAGTCGCAGCCGACGCACGTGTAGTTTCTCTTCACTTTGCAATCGGGCAATTCTTTGCGCGATACGCGGGCCTCCTCTTCGTGATTTCCCGGCGGAGCGTCGCGTTGGCTCTCGGCGTAGTCGTCCGCGTAGACGTCGTCGCCGTCGACGTCGTCGCGGTCATACAGAGCGTCTCCGCTTATTAGGCTGCGCACTATCAAAGAACCTCCGGATCGATGTACCATCGAAGGCACTGACATGCTAAATGCACCGTTACGGCGATCTGAAACAATTCAATTTTAATTTATTATTTTAACTATTCACCTACTTTCTTTTTTTTTTTCTTTTTTTTATTAATAAAATCCCAATTTAGGACCCTACTTCAAAAAGAATTAACTCTGTCATTAAATACGAGGATAATCAAACTTCCATAACATAAATATTTGTTTAATTCAATTTTTCGATATCATTATATTTAATCTACATATAAATATCTATAACTTTTTCCATAGTACTAATTGGTAAATAATAGAGTTTAATTGATTACGATACAAAACTTTCTGTCATCTGCGATTTGTTGATTTAATCAAAGCAAGGAAAAATCGTGGAAACATTTCAAACAACTCGTTATTTCTCTTCCTAAAACTTCGAAACTATCAGCAGACACAACATTCGAATTTAGCGAATTTAACAGCGGTGTTTTGAAATTCATTCCTGATTTTTTTCTATAAATAGTTCTTAATTTAGGTATTTTACTAGAAAATTCTGCCAAAAGAAATAAATCTTTTTTTGTACGTATTTTGCGAGCGTGTACATTTTATGGACGTTTCAATTTCTGAGCCAGCGAATGCGAATTCTTCGCCACTCGAGTCGTCAAATCGATGAGTTTATATTGGAAAACTCGATACGTTTTCCCATAACTTTTAAGAAGATTGTAGGAATTTTTATTGTATATAGACTAATATAATCAAAATTTGTGTACTTTAAAAAACTTTAAAAATGTGCTACACTGCTAATATTAAATCATAAATTTTCATCATCTTAAATCCAAAATAACAAAACATCCTTTAGCAAAACAAGAGTATTTTTCTATAAGCAAGTAAAGAAAAAATGAAACTTTAAAATCCAACATTGACTGCAATGAAAGATCAAATTATTTCCTTAGTGATTTCTACTTCCTCTAAGATTTTGATCAAGAACATGCAAAAATAGAACACAATTTTCATGACGAATAAGTTCAAAATGTGAATGTAAAATAAACTTAACACACAAGCAAGTAATAAATTGAAGGAGACAATACACGTTTTCCACATATCCCACATAAAATAAGTATCGTAGAAGCTGCTGAAAAAGTGTTACGATCGACTGGCTCTCCTTTCCACCGCAAAAATCGATACGGACTCCAGAAGGTTGGTACACAAAGCTCTAATAGTTGAAAAAAAACCGATCGAACGTTTCTTGTCTTCCATAACATCCAAAGGCAAATTATTCCCAGGGTAAATAATTTATCCTATGGTACGATCGCGTGACGTTTTACCTCAAAATCCAACCACTGTCAACAAATACAACGAACGTGTAGCTTCATTTCCAGGTCAACAATGCTCTTTTAGGATTCTTGTGGCTTTGTCACAACAGCGCCGAGAACGCCAAAGGATGGGCGATTTCTTTTTATGCGAGTTTATTTCGACATTTCCAATAGATTTTTACGGTTTCGAATACATTTTGCAATCATGCAACAATCATTTTTTTCTCCGCGTTTCCAAGACAATTTACGTTACGGTATACGAGAGTTATAAAAATTTAAAGCGCTCAGTAGGTACGTACAAAAGTAAAATTTAGACCCATTTAAATTATCTGTTAAATATTAACGTTGACTTCAAGTACGATTTAACCGAACACAATACGTCGTTAATTTTCAACGATAAGTGGAGTCGTTAAAATTAAAATAAAGACGGACAATTTATGCGACTTCTTGTTTAATACTGCTAAAAGTTATTCTAATTTAAATGCAAATTTTGTTTGTATTAATACTAATCCTATTTTAGGATCAAAGTTTCATATCAAGTTGCACTCGATTTTTTGAATATATTTTGAGGAAAAAGGGAACTCGACTATAAAATGTAACTTACTAATGTTACAAAATTTAAGTAAACCAAGTAAATATTATGTATAGTAGGTACAAATACTAATGAAGCATGCAAAAATACAATTTGGAGTTGAGAGCCCCCCATAAAGGAGAAAAGGAGTCCCAGTTTAAGATATTTGCAGTTCCGACTTGATAAATGTTATATTCTTAAAAAAGAGACCTTAAAATTACATTAAAGCCGATCGAAACTGGCTTTTAGGACTTAAAAGTTCAGCGTGTACACGGTCGCTCATTCCACGCGACTTCTTTTCAATGACACAATTCTCTGCAGCATTAGAAACGAACGCGGAGTAAATACACATCATGGCACGCTCTGTCATGCCAATGCTTAATTAGAACGAGGACATAGCCCAGCAACCCATGAAAACGAATTACTGTGGGAAGTACTTTATTAGAAAGAAGCCTTATTTTCTTCGTGCAGTCGCGATTCGTCATGTGGCGGTGATGCATGGAAATCGACCAGAATTTTCGAATGTAGAGATGACCGACACGTGTCGCCCTATAGTTTGTTTAAATATATTATGTAGGTACGCGCGCAGTGTGGCAATGAAACGGTAGAAGAAGAACACACACATGCAATTTTCAGGGACGAATTCCATTCGCAATTATCTTTAGCGATAAACAGATGCTCTAACAATTTATAAGTCTATGTATATAAATATATACATAACTATGTATCTAGTATACGCATATATAACGCTATTTTGGTGTTCTGTAGTTACATAAGAGTGTGTGAGTTATACACACAGCACGCGGGCAAGCGATCGTTTTGCTCGAAAAGAAATAGGCCACAAACGTAATATGTGGTTTGTTGCTAATAGATTTCGTTTTCCTGGCTAATTTGTTTCGGAAAATAGAACAAAAAGATGAAAACGGATGATTTTTTCCGGTAAACTTCCCTTTCCAATCGGTCCATTTATATCAATGACTCATTGCATGCGCTGAATGAATTAGGTATGCATACATACATGAATGAATTCTATCGACAGTTTGAAGTGGTAGATATGTATATTGATAATTGTTATTACGTTTTAATATTGATTTTAAAGGAGTCGATTTTAAATTACTTTAATCAAATATATTGCACTGCTAATAGCATAGTAGGCATAGAAGTATAGAGCTTTTCAATTAAATAAGTTATCAAACATACTGTAAAATTGCCTATAAAAGTCACCAGAAATTTAGGTAAGATGAGAAAAATCTAAGCGTGTCAGATGCAAATCCTGTACCAACCCTTTATACGAATAAATCAGGTGAGAAGTAAATAATTTATTGTAGGTGCATATTTTATACTTTAGACAAACGGATTTTTTGTAAAATATATTTGCCTCGAAAATGTTTATTTAATTTCAACAACAAATGACTTTTTATTAGTAGCCAAAAGTTAGTGTGACACACAAATTTGTAAACAAAATTTTTCGCCTCTTCAAAAAAAATATATATCGGAAAATTAACGTTACAGGAACACGTAATGCATACATTTTTATAAATAAATCTCGAGCAACGCGAATTATGTCAAATGTCGCTATAATTTTCACTATTTATTAATCATCAATCGACAATACAGCCGGTCGGTATAGCTTTCAATACAACACACAATTTCATCGGCTCATAAACGATTCATTTCCCTTTCATTAATTTCGCTTTTACTCGAAACCGGTCCTGCGTCACATGAACTGTATTATAAATAATAAATTCTTGCGCTCATCAGGAATTAATCTACAAAGTCCAGTGTCGATTGAAGGCGATCCATGGCTAAAAGTAGTTCTAATGTCCGTTCGTCGTCGGATCAACAATTGTATGTTAATTCCAATGATTGACTCTTGACCCCCGGCCACTTCCTTGACCCCTTTTTTCCTTTTCTAATTATTAATGTACAAGAACAAACCATGTCGATAATGTTAGATTCGAGGCGGATTGATAAAAAAACGTTGTCAATAGCTCACTGGTAAAGTTTCTTTAATGGTTGCCCATCCGATAATAGCTGTTAACACTCCATCATTTAATTATTATAAGTACAATTTGTAATGAAATTGTAAATGTAAAATGTAGGATAAGAAGCTACAAGGTATAATGAAAGGTACGGGACATATCATAAGTGTTTTATAATCTAATTACAATCATACTTTATTGCCATTTTTATACCGAAGAGAAGTTATAACAGAAATTGGAATATTTCAACAGTAAATCACAAGAGTTCTCATAAATATTAGAATGTACTACTTAGAACTACCGCCAAAAAGAGTCACGTATCTATCCAGGAGAGTCGATTATGTATTCAAGAGAGTCATTCAATTAACAATATTCTTGTCTTAATATTGATTTTTTTAAGATACTTAATTCAGAAATTTTAAGAGATAGCTTGCATGACAATTCTGGAAAAGCCGTCGTAAGGTACTAATTATTAGTAATTAAAACTGTTTACGCCTTAAAAGATTCCCTCGAATGCAGTTTACACAATTAATATAAGAACCTAAAATTAGCGAATGGCGTTATGTTCGTAAAAGATTCCGTGCGGAAGCTGAAGGCCTTGGGAGTCTTCATCTGTGGTCTATTTTCTGGTGTTTATTGTTAGTTTTATTACGCAAGCCTCCGAAATTACGCAACGATATAGGTCGGATGCTGTATTTCCATCTTTATACTACTCGGAGTTAAACACAGATTTTTCTTATGCCACGCATTACATGTACTACATACACAAAGGCGACATTAACTAAAATTTTATTGGCAAATATTTACTGATCCTATTAAGTTTGCTTACAACATTGGCGCACTTAAGACCGATTTACTTTCAAGATATCAGTACGATAAATGCGACGGTGACGTAAAATCTAATGCATAGCTTGAAGTTGATAATTTATTAATTGAAAAGTATAGTTTGAGAGTAGGAAAAGTTTCAACAAAGCAAACACAATTGAGGAAATTATCGGGTGTCTAAAGTCGAAGCGGTGCACTTTTTATACAGCGTGTTAAATAAGTCTTCTCATCCATAAAGAATATGCCCAAAAAATTAGGCAACTAAAATTGCATGAGTAGTATGAATGAATAATTAATGAAGTTTTATTTTATCTGTTTAAAAATAAAAATTGTTAAGATGACTTTATGAAGGCAACATGCCCTTGGAACTGATGCACATG